CATAACACACGCCGCAATAAAGCGCTCACTGTACCACAGACTGTCTGTATAGCGCTTCGCTTTTTTGCGAGTGGAACATTTCTATACACCGTTGGAGATGCAGAGAATATCAGCAAATCATCAGTTTGCCGCTCTGTGCGAGTGGTGTTCATCACCTTCCCTCATCACAGAGCAATGTGTACCATTAAACAGGCCTTTTATGGAATTGCAGGCAAGTTTAAAAAATAACTGTATAGGAATCTGAAATATTTTTGAGTGTTCATGTTTAAGGTGACAAGTGGAAGGTAGATCCTTTTACTTAACTCTTGTAGCTTTCCCAAACGTGGTCGAGTGTGTGTATAAAGTGTCCGTCTGGTCCGCATGAAGCAGACTTTGTTAAATCAGTACACAGTATAAATGTGCATTTTAATGTTAATTTAAGTTACCCACATCCCTCTTTATAGACGTTTTCTTATGATGCTGTAACTGCAGTTTAGTGACCTACATTTTCTTCTTCCAGATGATCTGTGATGCAGAGTGTGTCATCACTAAAGTACAGGCAAACCGGCCTGGCTCAACCCATGACTCTAGAACACGTCCAGCCTCTTCTGTTGCCCAGCAACTGGCTCAAGGTAGGTTATTAATGGAAAATGTACAGGTTTAAAAATAAATTCACCAATTAGTAATTACAAAAGAATACATTTTGACTCGATCCAGGGGAATTCTCAGGAGTTTTGCTGGGAGACAAGGGCTGACTCCATACCAGGAACCCCAGACACAACACAACTATAACTTGCCCATGCACGCACAAGAGCTCGTATAGAGATGGCATTTGCTCTCATCAAATCAAGGTTCCAGTGCCTGAAACACCTCCGAGTGACTGCACAACGGGCTTGTGACATTATTGCTGGTGGTGTTGTGCTCCATAACATTGCCAGCTTGAGAAAAGAGAGGCCACCACGGATGCTGCAGAGGAGGACTGGGGCTATGAGGTGGCTTTTGATGACAAAGAAACAGGCGGAGTTATAAGAGACATTTATGCAAATAATTATTTTGGTTAGTATTATATTTTTTCATGTCATGTGAAGGCTTTCATTTTCTGTTTGTAGCCCCCTACTTGCCCCTCAATTTCATTACACAACACACACAAGTCACATAATTTGTATTTTATTTATTATTATTATTTTTTATTTCAATTTAAAGCTGCCTGCTGGAGAAGAAAAACAAAACGCATACGATTAAATGGTGACCAAAATGTCAAGTGTTTCATTACAACAGTTCTCCAGTTTTTGGATTTCCAGCTCCAGCTTTCTCATCTTCAACTTCTTATATTGAATGTCTACATCCAGAACATTTCTTTAGCGCTTCTGGAGTTGGATCTGGATCTTGTGTTCTGCAGTGAGGACCATCTCGCTACATCACTCTTCTTTTTGGCAGCTGTATTTCATAAATATGTAATCAGACAGTTCTAGCATCAAGCCAGTTATACTAAAGTAGTTATATAGCCTATATACTTACCATTCTGAATGATATTTTTATATTTAATTTTCACCTGCTGCCACGTTCTTTTCTCCCCACTGAAGTTAATTGCTGCTGTTTAAAAAAAAAAGTTTCCTCAAAATAAGTGAAGTGCATATTAATACATACATACAAACAACAATAATATATATATATATATATATATATATATATATATAATTTAATTCATTTTTTCTTTTTGAATGTGTCTGGTATTTCATTAGATCGTAGTAAGACATTTAAACATAGTTTTCTACTTACGCATTCAGTCGATCAGCAATTATTTGCCAGCCTTTCTCTCTTATTTTATTTACTGCAGCAGTGTAACGTTAATTAAATCTTTCAGTTCTTCGTATGATTCTACGAGCAGGCGCTGCTCTCTGTACTGATCGATTAGATCCATGTTCGGCCTCTAGTGCTGCTTAAGAAAAGCGTGTTCACGCAATTATCTGGACTCCGCAAACCTGGCTCGAATCAGTGAGATTGCGTGATCTTAAATGGTCGTTTATGAAACCGCTTTAGTCCCGATTGATTTGTTAGGTTTAGGACTTTAATCCCCGCTTTTCTTAGCGTCTTTTATGAAACAGCCCTGACCTGTCTGTGTCTTTATATAAACAACAACAACACAGTGTTCTCAAATGTCAACTGGATGAACTGGCTTTCATTTAATATGATTTATTGTTATTGATGTTATTTGTTAACCTGCTGATATGATATTTTACAGCTGTTTTCAGTCTTTTACGTGTAACTGGTGCTGTCTTTTGTTCATTTGTAACGTCAGTGAATCATCTAAAAACGCTGTAATTCGCACTGTTGACTGTTCATTGAAATGATTAATTATTATCTTTTACAGGTCTTGTAAATATGACTTTAAAGGCAGCGTTTTATTGACTGAAGCAGCTATATGTGTGTGAAAAAACCATGTGCCACTCACACACACACACACACACACACACACACAAACTCTCTCTCACTCACTCACACACACACACACACACACACA